AAAAACTCTAAATAAAAACTATTATTCCTACAAATATTAGAGTAGTCTCCCTTGACAGTTTCTATTCGAATGTATTTTGTGTTAATTTTCGTTATGAAATACAGCTGACTTTAAATTAATTATATAAGAAAACAATCTATCTCTGTGTATATTTATTTTAAAAATATTACAGTAATTAGAAAAGGTGTTTCTGGTTAAATAGCAATTATTCTCATTCTAAATCTTTGGCTATCGAGTTTCATGGGTTTTTAAATTTAAGATTATGAACACATTGGCTTGACGAAAATGATTATATACACTTAAATACATACTAAAATTTACTTTTGTTAATAAACCTACACTATTTTATGCACACATACAAAAAAGAATATTTTAGCGGCAGTTACAACGTCAAAAAAAAAAGGAAACTCCTTTATACTGAATAGTTCTATGTAACAACAAAAATGTAAAAATACATAGTCCTAGAGCATACTAACACACATATATACATACGAAGATATGTGTGGGTGTAAGTAGGATGTGAGGTGGGTAGACAGGCGGGGTGGAAGGAAAGCAGTTAGGCAGGAATAACGGTAGGTAGGAAAGTAGGTAGGAAGGCAGCAGCGCAGGCAGGTTAGTAGATAGGTAGGTACGTAGGCAGGGAGTTACGTATGTAGGTAGGTGGGCCTAGGTAGGAAGGCGCCTCACTCGGTATAGTGAGTGATTATAAAAGCCCATCATATTCATAGCGTTTCGCAATTATTAAAACGAACAAAGTTACCATAGTACTCACGGGAAAACCCGGGGAGCTAAACAGAACCCTGCCGGGGCGCCACCAAATCGAATTTTTTTTTCGCAGAAACCACCACAGGGGTATTAGCATTCGCTTCTCAAATTTGAATGACAAACGAATAAAATCTTTGGTAATGCTTAAACAAACAAACCCACATATTCGTTTTTTGGGGCGCGGGTTTGTCCACACTGCCGTCTAGACGCACCAAGGCTCACTGTATGAAAGCCTTGAGTGTACGTTAATCAACCTCTGTAATAGTGAGGTAGAACACACATTGGCGACTGCCCATGTGTTAGAGACGCGTCCCTTGGTGCTCCAGGGAGCCACTGGTTATACTTCCGCAGGGGCGCCCCTAATTCGGTTTAATTATAAAATTTCGTGTGCCACCGTGTCCCTATTGTAGGGTGCTCTTTAAAGAGGCACTCTCGGTAGAGCCCGGAGCGCTCGCTGTCGCCAACTGCCAGGGCGCCGGCGCGCGCTCATTATTCTACTTAGTGAACATTTATAGTAACCCATCTAAACCGTAGTGTCGTTCGAGGTGGGTCTTGGCCGCTCTGGGCCATTCAACCGCCGGGGAGCTGGCGGTTGAACCTGGTGTAGTTTTATCATTGAATCTCAGAGGCGTAGCACCATTCCTGGCGCTTGGGGAAAAATTTTCAATTTGGCGCCCCCCCCCCCCCTCCCGCCGGGGACAAACTTTCAATTTGGCGTCCCCCCCCCGTATTTTTTTATATTTATAATGCAAAACTGTAGCTAAAATGAGCTTTAAAATTTTTCCCACCCATTTTGGCGCCCCCTAGGGTTGGCGCCCGGGGACATATGTACCCCCGGCCCCCTCGCTACGCCTCTGCTGAATTTAGTATTACCTATGACCGCAATTGATGAGATAGCCCCTCTGGATTCCCCTCTGGATTCTGGGCTCATAATCGTATAATGAGAAAAATCGAACCCTCCCAGGGTGCCACACTCAAGAATTGTTTTCTTTCTCGAAACCCTTTTCACCAACTCCCCAAAATTTTATGACTCTCGTACGAACAGTGTCAAATTGCATCTGGCTTTTATTTTTATGGAGAAAAATTGCATTGCTTCCTGTCAGAGACCCCAGATCGAATGGGGCGCCAAAAGGGGTAGACAATTTTTAAAAAATCCTCATTCTTCAGTAAAATTTAAGAAAACAGATTTATACATGACTGATATCCTCAATTATTTTATATAGGGGAGTGTATGTAGGGATGGGCGCCTTTTTGCCAGCGTTTGAATAGGGTTGGCACAACATTGATAGTTCGCCCCGGGCGCCGGAATAGGTTGCTACGCCTCTGCTTCCTGCTAGGGCGCCGCCCTGGCGAAATCTTTCCGGGGGGGGGGGGGGGGCGTGCGGACACTGTTAAAAGTATATATTTTTTTCTATATAAATTCCGTTTTGTTCGGGGGTGATGGGGGTCGATAGACTTTCTTCGGGGGGTGGGGGGGGGGGGCTCTGCTTTCCCCCCCCCCCCCCCCGAATAGATTCCTGGAAAAAACTCTGTTCACAAAGTTTTATGGCGATCCGATGAAAAAGATGTAGTAATTCATATAGGACAAACAGATAAACATACTTTCATTTCTATAAATATAAATAGATATAAACTTTAACTAGTGTCCGCATACCCGCACCCGGAAACTTAGTCACAATTTTCTTTGTTACATTTGAACCCTTTAGGTTAATCAATATTAACAAAATTGAACAAGATGCAACAAATACAGTTAACCAAGAAATCGAACAAGTAAAATTCACGTTATCTTTTTATTGTTTTTAGATATAGAGTAGTAACAGACTACCTACACGTCCTAACTCGCGACGAGGTACACATTTGTATTAAAATACAGATCTAAGACATTTTCCATTTAGGTGGGTTTTGCAGTACAGTGGTTTCTTAAGTCGTGGACAAGTGATTGCGCTTATCTCTGTTGAGTAGCAATGTATTCTGTCCTATATTAGACACATTTGTAAATATCTGTCACAATATGGGCATAGAGATGATATAACGATAGCTTATCTTTGCGGACGACGCTAAACTTTGGCATCGACACCACGGCCTACAAGTTCAAATTTGGTCCTTCAGAAATGTTTGAAGTGTCTAGATTAAAACTACTTTTCTCTTTTATGTGCCTACTGACCACATCACATGTATTTGTTCTGAAAGTCTAAAAACAGAGGCACAAATATATCGTCTAGACTTGTGAGGTCTACAGATTAGGTATTTTGGCAGTTATCTAAGCCCTTGCCTGTTCTGACTCAAAGCCTTATTCTTTCTCTATCGACGCCTTGCGTAACATGGGATTGGGTTTTTAAGGCAACATAAAGCTTTATGTTGTTCCTTTTTGAGTACACTAGATTAAAAACTGACGTTTTCAGATGCCTAAAGATGTTTAACCACTAATTAATCAGAATAATGGGTCAAGATTTCAATTCTTGGTTTAGGGACACGTTAGTTGCCGGGGTTGAGCTAATGTCGATAGCATAAGGACTGTACCTTGATGCGGGCGTTTTATTTGTTGCCCATCGTAATAATTGAATGGTTGATGGGGCTTCTTCAAGGGTTTGATTTGCCGTAATGTTAATGATATCATGCATGTGAGGCTTTTGTAAGAAGAAAATGCGTTAAAACACTTTTTAGTTATGCTTTTTTTAAATAGGCCTATATTTTACGACAACATAATCGTAATGAACAATAAAATGAATTTAAACAACTTTAGAATACACCTGTTTCAGCTAACATGAATATTATTCTTCAAACCAGTAATGTTAAACGTGTCTTTTTCGCATTTTCGACTTATAACGTCCATATGCATACAAGCAATGGCGTAGGCGAGGAGGGGTTTAATAGTGATTTAATAATGATACTTTCTTAACCCTCTACTGGACATCATGTTTGGTACCTTGCCCCCGGCAACTGGGTGGATTTGGATTACACCCAAGTTTTACTTTATAGTAAATGGCTTCAGTTTTAATTATTGGAGTTGGTAGCAACATTGACACAGTTGAAGGTATTCAGAACAAGGTGGCCAGGAGAAATCACATTTATTAGTATATAATTTACCATTACTAACAATAGGCCCTACTTAATTGTTTAATGTTGCTGGATATTAAGCCTAGTAGGTATTTATGTTTATTAATTTGTACAGAAACAAAAAAAAGGATTCCCAAACAAAGTTTTATTTTTCAGAAATAAAGAAAATGATACAAATCAATAAAGAACAGTTTTCAAAAGAATTTGTATATAGATCTAAGTAATTATTATAAAATAGGAATATAGTATTGCATAGATAAAAATAAAATACTTGACACAAACAATATGAGGAATATTTTTTATCAGAGAAGAGAAAAATATATGATGTAGTTTGAAAATAATAATCTACAGAATGTAGCTTTTGCAGATTAAAATGAAAATTCTCATGCCTATATAATTTATTGAGTAAATGAAGCAAGGCCCAAAACACTAGGCTAAATAATATGCATGGGACAGGCATTGAAAACTACAAATTGCATATAGTGAAGGTTACCCTACTTTTATTGGCTATATCCACCACAGTAAAGATTTATGGCTTTCTTACCTGCTTGTAAAATTGTTTAGGAAAAAGTGAAGTATTGTTAACTTTTTATGGCAGGCCAACTACGGGCTGTGTTCTGGGAACATGTCATCTGTAAGGGGCATTGTTCTCGGCACATGTTGTCATTTTGTGTGTTCTCGGCACATGTTGCCATTTTGTGTGTTCTGGGAACATGTTGTCATTTTGTGTGTTCTGGGCACATAATGCCATTTTGTGTGTTCTGGGAACATGTTGCCATTTTGTGTGTTCTGGGAACATGTTGCCATTTTGTGAGTTCATGGAACATGTTGACATTATTTGGCTGTGTTCTGGGAACATGTTGCCATTTTGTGTGTTCTGGGAACATGTTGCCATTTTGTGAGTTCATGGAACATGTTGACATTATGTGGCTGTGTTCTGGGAACATGTTGCCATTTTGTGGGTGTGTTCTGGGAACATGTTGACATTATGTGGCTGTGTTCTGGGAACATGTTGCCATTTTGTGTGTTCTGGGAACATGTTGCCATTTTGTGTGTTCTGGGAACATGTTGCCATTTTGTGTGTTCTGGGAACATGTTGACATTATGTGGGTGTGTTCTGGGTACATGTTGACATTATGTGGCTGTGTTCTGGGAACATGTTGACATTATGTGGCTGTGTTCTGGGAACATGTTGACATTATGTGGCTGTGTTCTGGGAACATGTCTGTTTCATTTTTAAATATTATAATAAAACATTTTTAGAAATTCTATATTAGGAATTGTGTATTTATATAAATTTATATATTTAATAAGACAATTGGATGAATTATAATAAACAGCAAGAATGATTCAAATAAGTTTAGAAGTATTTGGCTTGCTGTCCTAACAGTGAACTGTATTCCGAGCTTGTTTCCCTAGTGATAACCCATGTTTTTTGTGCCACCCTTCCAATCAAGTATCCAGCTTTTTCTTGGCCTGTATCAAAATGCTGGTCATAGACTTGCTTGACTTGTGTATCACAATATGATTTTGAATGTTTTTCTGTAAATGAAATAAAGGCAAAATATTTTGATACTTTCTTTTGTGGAACTTGCAAGAGAAATAAATTACAAATTTATATTACTATCTCTAATATTTCTTTACTATGACTAATTACTTTGAAAAGATAAAGCACTGAACATGATGAATAACAAGAAACAAACATTATCAGAAAAGATTATAGATTTAAAATTGTGTTCATTCATATTGAAGATTAAGGAAGTAGACTATCAATATTTACCCTCTTGATGGCTGATACTTTGATTTGATGTCTTTACTTTAAGCTTACACATCAGTCTCTGTGTGGTAAAATATGAAATAATATGCTTCAATAAAACTGTTTCAGTATATTAATTACATTAGATAAGTACATAGTTTTGAGCTCTGTAACAATATGTGTTTCAATTATCATTCAAATAAAATAACCTCTATGTTGTACAACTCACTGATTTATTAGAATTTAAGAAAAGACAATAATTAATACAATATTTTGGATTAAAATCCATTATATTTATTATAACATATAATGCTATCTCTTGCTATAATAATTACTTTAAAAAATGGGTTATGCCTATAGTACAGTTACCTGAGGATGAAACTAGGCACAGTGATTAGGCACAGTGAGACTGATTAATATCCATTGTTATTGAACATCAGTTGTAGTTATGAAATCTGGATGGACAAACACACACTCATAGTCCTGAAAAGTAATTTACACATAGATTAGCAAGAATATCTCACTAATTATTAAATTAAAGCTAACCCCTATTTAGATCAATCCATCAAAGTAGTTGCATTTTGTTTAAGCTGTAGACACAATACAAAGTAATGTTTGTTCTGTGATTTACATACTTTTATAAAATAGCAATCAAATTACACACACACACACACACATATATATATATATATATATATATATATATATATATATATATATATATATATATATATATATATAGATATAGATATAGATATAGATATAGATATATATATATATATATATATATATATATATATATATATATATATATATATATATATATATATATATTATATATATATATATAGATATATATAGATATATATATATATATATATATATATTCAGTGTAAATAAAGTAAAATTTGTAAATTTTAGTTATGTCTTGTTATTAAATTTATTTACTCGACTGATCTAAACTCACTTTATTTAAACATAATATAGTGGATAAGTATAGTGATTTTATTATTTAGCAATAAAAAGCAGGCCTAAATTTTTTAAAATAGTAACGTTTGCGAATGAACACATTAAATTCTATGTATTTCCATTTCTTTGTCTTTCCCAACTCGATGCATATTACTAACCAAGCACTAAACTATAGTCCTAAATAACCTTGACTCTAATTACTATTTACCGGACAACCTGAATCTTTGCGATACCATGTTATAATATATTATTTTAAAAAGAGCTTACCACTAATTACTAAAATCAATTGTTTTTAGTATTAACTGAGCCGCATACTATCTGCTGCTATTGTCATCACCAGAATTCCAGTATGCTGGCAAGGTTTAGTCTCTAAGTTCCCTACAACCTCTTTCCTCTCGAGTGCGGAAAACACTGAAATCATTAATCATTATTTCATTATGCCTAATAGTTTAAAGGTAGTATTAAAGTAGTACTAAATAGTACGAGTCTTAGTTACCGTAACTATGGGTCTAATGAATATTATTATTGTGTATGCTTAATATTGGTATATAATATATAGTCTATAGTATATAGCCTAAACTATAGAGCCTAAATATAACAGCAGCTTGAATAATGCTCATTAGCATGCATTCACTATAAACTATAAAGATAAACAAATATTTCAATTTAATTTAATTCTAACTAATAATAGTAAATAGTAAATAGGCCTTTTTCTTGTGGTAACAAATTTAAAGTATAGGGCTATAGTTGTAGTATAGGCATAGTAGATTCTATATTTAAGAATGTGGGCTTTTCATTCCAATGCACCACAATGGATACTACACATGATCAAGCTTGACCTCTGATCTAAAGATTTAATAATTGGGCCTAACAAACAGTGAAAGTACAATAAAAATCATGTAAATTACTAATTTAACCTTCTTACCTTCGCTTCTGCAGATTCCTATTCTGTTTCCTTCAAACTTTCTTTTTATGCAGCCGTATGATTAGATTCTAGACTATATTCTAAACTAACCAGAACACTAGATCTAAATTTCTAGATTCTATGCAGTATGTATTAAACCTATAGGCCTAATATTTATTTTAAATTCCTATGCGATGTGTCGTGAACTGTAGGTTTCATGTTATTTTTTAATGGCGGAAATCAGTTTAAAATTTCGTTTCCTTCGCTTTGTCATTCTATTTATAGATTCTATTTATAGAGTCGGAGCTAAGAAAAGATAGGCTTATATCATTGAATTAGTCGGGCGATCCACACAGGAAGTGACCGTATATCTATTAGTTACTCAGTGATCCGATCATTGACAGATACAGAGATAGCCATTCGCATGGGGTGCTCTCTCTCTCTCTCTCTCTCTCTCTCTCTCTCTCTCTCTCTCTCTCTCCCTCGTAATCTCTTTTTGGCTGCTGAAAAATAACTATTTTAATAATGGGACAAACTGTCATACTGTAACTATCAAAGACCATTTTTATCCAACTATTTAGGGAAAAATATCTTAGACTCAAAATATATCAAAGTATATCGAAATAGTAGTACACGAAGCTTTTGCAATATGGAATTTGAGCATAAAGGATTTGATTATAGGGAATTTGACCATAGGGAATTTGAAAATATGAGTTTGCCCATATGTGGTTGGACCACATAATGTTTTTGATCACATTTTGTTTGCCCACAGCGGGAGTTTGATCACAGGTGCAAAACAAGAAATAAAACATTGCGAAATTATGTTGTATGGTGTTGCCTAATTTAAAAACATAATTATTCATCATGTACACTTACAAGTCATTCAGCTGTGAAGCGATACGTGATGCTGAACGGCAAAGTACAACGTGCTTTCAGACACACGGTCAGACAGATGTCCTGATATAATTGTGTGCTATTGCAATCTGTCATTTAGTTAACCAAAAAGTATTTTTTTCCGACTAAATTATTGGAAAGTTTACTAAGTAATTTATATGTGATATGTAACTTAGTACATGTTCAATTTTAAGGAAATTTGTCATATAACATTGCATTTACTGTATTATACAATTAATACTCAACTACATTTCATTATTATAAGCACTAAACTTGTTCAAAGCCCCGCTTTTGCCAAACCATAAACGTCTAAATTCTTAATGGTTAAAGCATTTGTTTTCAAAGTCCCGCTATTGCCAAACCACAAACGTCTAAATTCTTAATGGTTAAAGCATTTGTTTTCAAAGTCCCGCTATTGCCAAACCACAAACGTCTAAATTCTTAATGGTTAAAGCACTTGTTTTCAAAGTCCCGTCCCGCTATTGCCAAACCACAAAGGTCTAAATTCTTAATGGTTAAAGCACTTGTTTTCAAAGTCCCGCTATTGCCAAACCACAAACGTCTAAATTCTTAATGGTTAAAGCACTTGTTTTCAAAGTCCCGCTATTGCCAAACCACAAACGTCTAAATTCTTAATGGTTAAAGCACTTGTTTTCAAAGTCCCGCTATTGCCAAACCACAAACGTCTAAATTCTTAATGGTTAAAGCACTTGTTTTCAAAGCCCCGCTTTGGACAAACCATCAATGACCAAATGCCTAATGGTCAAAGTACCTGCGTTTAAAGCCCCACTTTGGTCAAATCAGCTATGGCCAAATCCCTAATGGTAACAGCATCTGTTTTTCAAAGCCCTGCTGTGGTCTAACCACTAAAGGTCAAATCACTAATGGTCAAAGCATCTGTGTTAAAAGCCCCTCAAACCAACGTATCTTACTTCAAATATCTTAAAACTACTTAGAGACGAAGTAACTCAAACGATCTCAAAGGCAACATATCTCATGGCATCAGATAATATTATTCCAGACAAATACCACCGATAATATATGCCTGACAAAAATATATTGGACAAGGAGAAAAATATTAAAAGAAATGACTTCAGTATTTCTAAGTCATAAAGTTGGATGATATTGCGTTACAAGTTTATTTCGATTTATTTTTTTATTTAATATTTATTTAATACTTTTAATATACACTGAGAAGGTCTAATTAGTTAGAGGAAAAATATATTAGACCCAAAATATCCATCCTCGGTATGCTTGAACCCCCAAGAGAAGATCCTGGCTACGCTATTGGCGTAAACAACTACTTCCGGTACACGGAAATAACTCACAATTAGAATAAACAGACAATTAGATATTTTATTTATTTGTGAAATTTCGCTTATATATCTGAAACAGTACTGGCGATATAGGTTTTAAAAAAAAACAAAAGTAGAATAAGTTCCACTTCCGGTTATCGGAAAAGTTTATACAAAACATCAACTTGGTAACGTTGTTGAAGCTCGGAGTCCTGTATTTTTACAAGCTTTTATTTAAATCACTGTCTCTGTCGGTCTGTCGTTAGTCTTGATCGGAACGCCCGAGCGAAATTACGTGCACTTCTAACTGACAGATACGGTTCATGGTTGGTACATGAGTCAAAACATAAAGACAATGCAACACGACATTAACTTTGACGTAATTTATTGCCTAGTAATGTTTTTATGAATTAACTATTTGGAATATGTTTGGGCTAAGATGGAAAAAGCATCCTTTTATCACATGTGGATGACCTATATCAAATACAACCACGGTCACTCCTTGACTCTCGAATTGCATGGTTTTATGTAGAAACTCTTTTGTAAGTCGTTAAAAAATTACATTAATTTAATTTAAACTCGTTTTTCTTGGTTCTCATCATCGTTATTATTTCATTACATAAACCCGAGTCGGGGTTTATTATCCATGTGGTTTATGTCTTGTTGGTTTTTTGTCCAGTGGGTTTATGTCGTTTTTTTTTATCTACTTGGTTTATGTCGTGGGTTTTTTTTGTCCAGGGGGGTTATGTCGCGGGGGGGGGGGGGTTGTTTATGTCAAGTGGTTTTTTGTCGCGGGGTTTTTTTGTCCAGGGGGTTTATGTCGCGGGGGGGGGGCGGGGGCGGTTATGTCCATTGGGTTTATGTCGTGGGGTTTTTCGTCCATTTAGTTTATGTCGTGGGGGTTTTTGTCCAGGGGGTTTATGTCGTGGAGTTTTTTTGTCCTGCGGGTTTATGTCATGGGGGTTTTTTGTCCAGGGTGTTTTGTCCAGGGGGCTTATGTCCAGGGGGTTTATGTCGTGGGGGTTGTTTGTCCAGGGGGGTTATGTCGCGGGGGGGGGGGGTTGTTTATGTTAAGTGGTTTTTTGTCGCGGGGTTTTTTTATCCAGGGGGTTTATGTCCAGGGTTTGTTTTGACCTAGAACCAACTTAAGGGTTGACAAAAAAGCTGTTTTATCAGTTATTTTTTTATTTAAAAGAAAAAAAAAAACATTTATAGGATTGTCTTATTCAGGGGCGAAACTATCATGCCAACACACAATGGGGTGGGGGGGGGGGGGGGTCAAACCGATTGGAAGCCTAAATTCCACTAAAAGAAAATATTAAATTTGTTATTGTAAAGAACCGTTTTTCTTGTACTTACTAGTTTTCGCTAAAATAAAAAACGGATCCACTGCATTTTTAAGTAGTCGAATAATAAAGGAGGTCATTAACACTTCTTTAAAAAAGTCGAAACGGGGATGGGGGCAATAATGCTCTTTTAAATATCAAATTAGCTATTGTAGACCCTATTTAAACAGAAAAAGAATGGGGAATATAATTTTTTTTATTTTATAAAAAACAGGCATATATGGAAGACTATTCAAGTCTCCGCTTTATAGCTGTATTTAGCTATAGATCCACATTATAATCCCTAGCACAACACGTATATAAATATGAAGACTACGAAGAAATATTGAAACACAAGTAGGAAGGTTTTAAGAAAAAAACACCCTTCAAAAGTTATATTTTTATCCTGCCATATTTATTGTAGAATCCTTTATTTCAAACATATTTGTGTACTAAACACATTAAAAGACCTTTGTTTTTCTTAATTAATATTTCAATAAGGCATAATAAATAATGGCATAGCTGTAAAATTTTATAATATAAATTCCAGAAACATTGTGATAATACTAAAACAGGAAACCAATTGTACAACAGAATCATAAGTACTTCATACACATTTTTGCGGGGGAGCATTTTCCTTTTCTTGTTCTGCCACTGCTATTGTTGACTATATTGTGAATTTGGTATTCTAAAAAATGTACTTTAGCCCACACATGTTTTATGTATTAAGTTTGCTACATTTAGCCGACCAATAAGTTTCGGGCGGCACGTGCTTTAGCGAAGAGCTAAATTTAGAGCCTATATCATATTATCGATTCTTAACACTATCTCGATTTTTGCTGTTGACACAGTTGTAAAAGTTGCCTTCTTAGAAAGCTGGTAAGTTAGTAGTTAATTGGTACTACTACTAAAACCCTGCTTAAAATAATATGCTTTCTAACTATAAAGCTTATAATTTTGAGCCGAGTTGTAAATTTAACTTATACATTAGTTACCGCTCATTAATTAATATTGATAGTATAACTATTACTGCTTAATAATTTATAATACTTTTAATATTAGGCTTACTTATTATAACTTATGGATTAATTAATTAATATTAATGTATGCATATGTATTTAGTTCACAGCGCCAGTTTTCTTTTTCCGTTGGCTTGTGTCGAATCTTATTACTTAATTTAATCCAAATTTTAATGCAGCGATTTGTTTCAAAACTTTACAGATACATTCTTCTTCAATGACAAAGAATATTTTTAAAAATCCAATTATACATGTTCGTAATAAAAATGTAATTTAAAAATTACAGTATTCAATAATAAAAGGGGAAATAAAAAGATGAAATACTAGCGCTAGTTTGTCACGGTTGGCTGATTTCTTGACTGAGCGTAGATCATGAACTAACTAGGATCAGATAGCTGGTTTCAACGGATCAATAGCTACTGGTAGGTTTTAAAATGCAGTTCTTTTTACTTTCCCTAGCGTGAATCAGGTACACTTCAGAGCTGGGTGGACTGATGAAGGTTTTACAGTATCAAGCCCAGACCTTTGAGCTAGCAAGCGTGTTCCTAACATTGCGACCATTCCGCATATTTTTAATTAGATGAATATAATTAATTAAAATGTAGTTACTAATCAGAAGCTCTGACGTATGAGAAAGCGAAATAAATTCAAATTAAACGTCAAAAATAAATGCTGTGTAACAGACGGTGAAGCTATGTAGCACATTGTATAATCAATCTATTTTATTATTCATTGATTTATTTCTATTAACATTTGCTCATATTTTTGTGCCCCTATGTAGCATGTTTACGACAAATGCGCGACGAACACTTGTCCAATTGTCGTTTACCCACAGATAATTTTCTCGAATGGACGTTTGGACGAATGCGATATATACTTAAAACGCACGACACAATATTTCTGATTCATGTTTAGTTCAGTTAACATACACTTTGTTCGAGCTCTTAACCACACAAGAGATACATTTTTGTTTTGTTTTTCTTTGCGATCATCTTATTCTTTAAGCGTTCACTCCCTTTTTTTTTTTACTACTCAACGCACACCATATTTACCGAAATCTATTGCCCCCCCCCTTCTTTGTAGGCAAAAGATACCGCTTATTTTAAGAACCATCTAGAAGGTTGTGGTTATTATTGCGACGGTATCGCATACATCTGAAAAAGTGAATTTGCTGTACTTTAACTGTATTTTCTATAAGCGAAATCTATTTCGTCATCTTCTGCTAAACAGCTGTCTTTTCGCTGGAACAAGCAAAAATGCAAAATAAAATAACTGCACATATTTAATTTGAATTAGTTAACCAGAATTTTTACAGTTGAGCTTAAATAGCTGGAAGTATTCAGTATGTATCAGAATACATTAAGTAAGGATTAGACTCGACACCTTCGACTCTAGTTTGATTGTGTTTTACTCTGTCAGGAAAATTTATATAAATGAGAATAAAGGTGTGGGCTTTCTTTTCGGCTGTTAAATGATCCATTGGGTGGTTAAAGTACAGGTCACTTGTTTTTTTTTTACCTAGGCATGTGAAGTGAAGATGAAATCAGAACTATGCCATACAGCCTTTAATGTGAGTCAGGTACCCATCGTAGCTGGGTAGGCTCAGGGACGTCCTCTAGGCTCAAACGTCGAATTAAAATTTGTAAAAGCCAAACTAACTGAATTATATATACTTGTTTTCAATTTAAATCAGTTTGATCATCTTATAAAAGCCAAGTATCTCTAGACATCTGGACTGCACCAGTAAATACTTACTAAATAAAATGACTGAACAAAAGCCTCTTCCAATATTCAGAACATCAAAAGAAGGCACAGATTTAAAAAAGGGTAAGTTTGTTTGAAAATATTTTAAGATGCAATTTTTATTATCGGCATGGTCTAACATTTATATTATTTCCAAATAAATGTTTTTGAAACGTCTCACACACGCCTATTGTAAAAAAACTATATTAGTTATTAATTGATGTATTTAATGATTATTTATTTGAAAAGTATATAGGAAATACTTTAACCATGAAAGAGTTGATCCACGAGTAACTTTCTTCAAAAAAAAACTTTAAAATAAAAAAAAAGGCTTGTATAAAAAACTAATGTTACAATAATATTTGCAATTTTCTGAGATTTAAGAGAGTTTATTTCTCAAAAAGCTCATTTAAAAATTAAGCATGACTTCAGTGCGATGAGAAGTCGTTTTATATTTTATATAGATACTAGTCGTCCCGGCAAGGCCATGCCCCGGCCTCAAAAGCAAACACAAACAAAAATGCCAACACTAACGCAATTACAAAATAAAACACAAACACAAACACAACGGAAACACAAACACAAACACACACACAAATGCAAAAGCAAACGCAAACGCAAACGCAAACACAAACACAAACATAAACGCAAACGCAAATACAAACGGAAACTTAAACGCAAAAATATTTTGCAGAACATAAACACAAACTTAAATCCAAACATAAAAGCATAGTGCTAAAAAAATAGACCTGGGCTACGAATCGCATCGTGTCGGGGCGCCGGCGAAACCATCTGATTCTACTTAGTAATTGACTATAATACCCAATCTTATTCATAGTCTATCGCACTGTTTAAAACAAACGTAGCTGGGAAAGCCCAGGGCGGCAAATAGCACCCTTTGGGGCGCCGGAGGACGCCCTGGATTCGATTTAGTTATGGACTATAGTAACCCTTTTTATCCAAAGTCCATAGCACTGTTTAAAACGAACGATTGCATCATACTGCTCACAGGATTAAACAATGTAATAAAAGTATTTTGTTTTTGCCCGATGTAATGTCTTTTTTAAAGGCTATTTATATTTTATGTGATCTATCAAGGGAATTAAATGGCAATAAAGGAACACAGTGAGTAGTGTGTACACTTTAAAAAAAAATTGAAGGATGATACATATTCTTGGATTTTTTTTTATTCCACATGATTTTAATTAAAATTATACGTTTGTGAAATAAAATTTGTTTTACATATGAGAGTGTGAAATTATTTAATTGCTGGCACAAGTCAATTTCAATGATGTTCGAGTTTATGTAAAATGCCCACAAGTTAAAATATATTTCTCCTTACTCTACTGACACCTACTATCCAATGCAGTTCTGTTATCCAACTGTCCGCCACAACTTTCTACTACTTATCAATCCACTCAACGTTGACCTCCTAGTTAATACATAATCTCTGCTTTCTTTTTCCTATTTTTTAAATATCGCCTTACTTGCGTTATCACACTTTGGTACGTGTTTCTCTGTACAGGCTCAGGGTGGTTTGTAACAACATTTCTTGTGGTCAACGCCACACTGGGTGCAGGGCTACTCAACTTTCCTATGGCCTATCACCAGGCTGGCGGTATCGTGACTGCCATGATTGCCCAGTCAGTAAGTAGAATAAATTCACAGATATATGTGTCGTTTGTAGTCGTTATAGGCAAGGATAGGCACTAGCGTAGTAAAATAGTGTTTTAAAAACAGCATAAAAATAAAACCTCTACAAACATTGTATATTAAAAATGACACCGGACACATTAAAACACAAAAACACGTTCACTGGGGAAGAAAAACTCATTAAATATTTCACATGATATAAGCTCTTAATAAATGTCGCAATTAAATTTTCAAGGCGTGGTCGGGTGGGAGAGCGTGTGTTTTCTAACTCAAACAGTCCCGAGTTCGTACCTCGGCATATCATGTTCGCAAACTGGGCACTGTAACAAATCAAGGAGAAAAAAAACTCTCCAAGATTAAAAGCTACGCAGCAGATTGTTTATCCGTGTACAAGGGGTATGGAGGTAAATAAAAAAGAAAAGCAGGATGAAGTCGGAGTCTAAGGGCCACATAAGGTTAAACAGATTGACACTTAATATAAAATTTCATTGGAGGCATTGCCTCTTGTAATACAATAAGAACGAAGAAGGAAATCAACAAATGCATTATAAACTACAATCAAAACCTGTTGTTTCCAAAGTGTTTGACGGATTTTATGTAGAGTTTTATCGTGCAAAGTACATTCTTCTTTTTTTAAATTTTGGTCAGGTCTTTTTAGTCCCTGTGATTGTTTCAATCTTCATCCTCGCCTACTGTGCCGACATCAAAGGCTCCAACACCTACCCTGACATGGTTCTATCCATTTGTGGCCCTACAGCACAGATGGTGTGTGCTGCATGTCTTATGGTGGACTGTTTTGTCATGTGTGTCACATTCCTGATTGTAATTTCTGACCAATGGGAAGTTTGTAAGTAAACAGCGCTGTAGAAATTTTTAATGTATTTACCAGAGAGTATATCTGCAATTATCCTGAGTTAGAAACCCATCAATGTTGGGTTGGTTCAGGGACGTTCTACTTTCTTGAACTGGAAATCGATATCGAGACTTTTGTGTTGGTAGCCTAGTGCATGTTAGGGAAAGTAAAAGCAATTGGACAAAATTCTCACCACACCTTCACTACATATTCCGAGGTAGAGAAACAAATGAATTCTACTTCATATACCCAATGGATATCTAGATATAAAGAGGATTCTTTATTTTATATTTGCAAATAACAATGAATATTATTGAGATATTTTCACTAAAATCATGATAGTTAACACTGTTTTTGTTGTAGACGTAAATACATAAAAAAGAATTAACATATAAATTATTAAAGTTGGATAAATAGCTCACTTTTACATTCAGATTACAACAATCGTTTTTTTTTATTTCAGTTTTCCTAAATGTGGCTAACGATCTCTACTGCCAAACACAACCGTTCTACATGTCAAGAACATTTGTTATTTCCTTTACATCTGCAGTGTTTATTCTTCCATTATGTTTTTCAAAACAAATTGATTTTCTAAGACATTCTAGGTAAGTGGAAGATGCATAGTACTCCACATAGATTATGTTATTATAGTGGTCATACAATGAGCAAATACCCTCGAAATTCATTATCAGGTGCTCTGTAATGATCCTTAAAAAACGAAAGCATATTTCAGTAGTACTATGATTAAGGATATGGCAGAATTTTGAAATTTTCAATTTTTATTTTATATTCTTCTTTGTTTGACATTGCTGAAAAGAGATACTTAACTTTACACGAAAATCCAAAAATTACCACCAAACATGATATGATGGCAATGATGTATAGATGTACAAACACAAGAATAATCAGTATGTAAAAAAGTGTGTAAACACTGCTCTGCCGAAGATAATACACGAATCCTATTAAAGCCTGTCGCTCCTTGTGATTTCCACCAAAGTCCAAAAAATAGCTAATTTTGATTCTATTTGATGAGTACGAATTCAGGTTTAAGGTCACCACTAAAAGGTTATTAAACAGAACACACAGAGTATACGTTTTACTTTTCAAAAATACGACATAGTCTTAAACAACTGAACATGTGAATACAAAACTACTTAAATACATAATGTTGGTTATTTCATATCATGTGTTGCTCATAAACTATTGTTAGGAAAACATTTCTCTCCATCCAGCGTTATTGGTGTTATCGGCAGCTTGTGTGTAGCTGTTCTAGTGGCCATCAAATATTTTCTACTTCATGATAATCAGGGAACTATTGCCACGACGTAAGTAAATCTAAACTCAATTTTAAATTAATTTTTATGGTTAACGTGCATTTCTTTTTTTACTATAATGATAATAAGTTATTTTTATGGCTATTAAGAATACATTTTTATTTATAAGAATATATGAATAAACATTTTGTTTTATTAATACATTTTGTAGATTTTTAAAAAAAATATCAACCTATAATGTAACACATTTAGTAAATTTGGAGCCTAATATAACATTTTATTAACTATTAAACAAAATCAAATTTTATTTTTTAACAATATCATCGGTTTCTATGTAGCTTGCTATGTTGGAATTTCACAATTTCAGACCACATTCATGGATCGATGTATTAATATTTGTCCCAGTCATTAGTTTTGCCTTTGAGGTAAGCCTGGTAGTGCTGTAGTAGTTACTGGTTAAATGACTTTTTATACAATACATCAATAACTATTTCCTATATGGGATCTTTAAACATGAACTTTGTGTAAAATTGTTTTTAAATAATTGAGTGTCAGTCGTAATTTTTTTTTTGTAAAGTGTCAAATATTATTTTTGCAAATTGAAGGAAATTAAGAAAAAAATATTTAGAATGGGAAACGTTTACTAATTAAGGGAACATAAAGAACATTTTAAAAAAATCTTGTAATAAATTTTCAAATATAAAACTCTGACAAAACTTAACTTGTTTCAAAAAAACAACACCACTATGCATATATATATATATATATATATATATATATATATATATATATATATATATATATATATAATTTTATAATATAATATTATTATAAAATGTTTTTACTGACAAATATTTGTATTGAAATATTTTAGTGTCACCTTAGTATCATCTCCGTCTACTCCTGTATGTCAAAGCGCAACACAAGAGAGTTCTCTAAAACAGTAACACTTGCCTTGATAGTTTGTGTCATAACCTACACGTCCACAGCAACTCTGGGCTACTTACAGGTTTGTCTTGTTTCCCTTTGTTCGAAAAATAGCATTGTTCATGCACTAGAAAAATGACCCGTTGAGGGAGAAATGCAACGGACACTAGGTTGATAGTGTTGTCTTTTTCTTTATATTTAAATGCCTTTTACCGATCCTTTGACAGGGACAGAAAATGTTTTATAATGTTAGGTATATTCAACTGATAAGTTAAACTGCTTCAATACAACTATATTATACTAATATGTGAACTTAATTTAATAGTGAAGGATACGTTTTTAAATGATATTCTACTAATACTTATAATACTAATACGTGAAGGGTTGGTTAAGTTTATAATGATGGTATATTCTGCTGATATGTGAAATTATTTTAATAGAAAGGCAATTTTAAGTAATAATAACATCGCAATAGCTAGCTATTAACTGCAAACAGTAGTGAGTAATTATAAAATTGTACGTTGAACTCTTGTCACGACATTGGAGTAGGGCGGGAATTAAATTTAATAACCAGTTCCGATAACTAAACGATAATTCACTGTCCACAGTTAACGACCGGACCTAACAATTATGTTACTAATTTTAAAAAATGTTAATTAATGATAAGAGTAAAAGACATTTAATGTGAATTTATTTAAATTAGAAAAGCTTAATTAACAAGCATGCCATAAAATGACAATAGAAAAATGGTGCAGTAGATAAAAATTGATAAATAGTTTATCCTGTGTGATCGGGAACTCTACGAGACGAAGACCAACCCCTCCCGTTATATTCCTCTGATCTATGCAATCCGTGAGAAAAGAGTGGGGGTTGAGGAAAGGTTTTAGAAGGTTGATTGGGTTTGTATTCACGAGTGCGGGAGTATTGTTTTTTTTAGTATACACACACACAAACACACACACACACACACACACACACACACACACACACACACACACACACACACACACACACACACATATACATATATATATATATATATATATATATATATATATATATATATATATATATATATATATATATATATGTATATATATATATATATATATATATATATATATATATATATATATATATATATATATATATATATATATATATATATATATATATATATATAAGACCTCTGTATGCCATTAGACTTTAATTATAAATTCGACAGTTTGGTGACAACATCACACATGACATACTGCTGTCATTTAACCCAACAACTGATGTAATGGTGGCTGTAGTACTTGTTGCTGTGAAAACGTACACCGCATACCCCATTCTTTGCTTCGTCGGAAAGTAGGTCTAGTTAGTATAAATCAAGAATACTTTAAATGCAGCGTCAAAGTATTTTACAACAGAAATTAGCTATCTGTCTAGTTAATGTTGGCCTTAGAATTAGGAACGGCGTGGTTGGATAATAGTGCTTGCTACTGCTAACCTATAAGTCTCGATATTGGATCACAGTCTTCACTCCCTGAGTCCACCCAGCTCTGATTGGTACCTGACTTAAGTTAGTTTAAGTAAAGGGGTCTTTGCATAGTGCTGACCACACCTGTCTATTTGCGTGTTAAAGTAAAAGAAACAGATGCATTCTACTTGATTAAAGAGGTTTGTAAAGGTAACTTTCTTTATACTCTATATAAATTAAGTACATTTTATTTGATTCACAAACGAGCTATTCAAATTTAATTTATATTATTACTCAATAGAGCCGCGTTTGAAACCTTATGGAGAATATTCTGGAAAATGAGCCCAGAAGAAATTGTAAAAAGAGAAAAGACGAGACGTGTTATAATTACATTGGTGTGGTTCACCTTGACCCTGCTACTGGCCGTCTTAATCCCCAATATGGGCGTGGTCGTAGAGATCCTTGGTGCTTTAGCTGTAGTGCTTATATTTGTATTTCCAGGTCAGTAATTTTTTAAAACTATTTACAGAATATAGTGAAAATATTGCCATCGTAATGAATAATTAACATGTATTTTAAAAGATTTCGCCGTTTTACTCTTCCATACTTTATCGTTTACGAAATATAAAGGATAAACTGTAATTTTGAAAAAAAAATTATAAACTGTATTGCTTTAGCCTACAATTCATAGTTTTCTATCAAGTTTTAGCAAGTCCCGGTAACCTGAGGTAGTACAGATGTACCCTAACTTCGGTTTCTCAAAAGCAAATATCAAGAGCACCGAACAGCACTGTCCCTCACTGCACCTCACTGCACTCCACAGCACGCCACTGTACTCTGACGTACCCTGCCCCTTGACCCTTTCACTTAACGGTCAGGTAACCATCACGATCTGGTTGGTTTGAATTGTGGAGCTTCCACAAGGAGAGCACTCTAACCTACCAAGCTAGCAGTCATACGACACCATCCTCATAGCAACCCCACCACTCTCACAGTGTATCTAACTAAAACATTATGTAAACTTCATGCTGTAGGGAAATGTTATTGTATTGTTTCTACCAACAGGGTTGTGTTTGTTTAAGACGATGCAGAATAAGATAGAATCAGGCGAGAAACATCTGACAAAAGCGTATGTATGTAGGGGGATTGGCATCGTGTACATTATTGTTGGTACTTTCATATTTGGACTGACCGTAACACAGGCCATTATAAAGGACATTCAAGGTGTCAAGGCGGACACGTCGAAATTCTCCTGCAGCTCATAAAATGTTGTTTTTTTCTTGTTGTTGTTGTTCTAGAATTTATAATAAAATACTATGTGTTATGAATGTTTAAAAATAAACATAAAATGAAGCTATATGTTTTATGTAATTATTTTTTCAGTAATTTGTGGCTTACTGGTTTGTACATACTATAAGATTTTAAAATCAAAGTATATTATTATAATTCAGTTTAAGCTCTTATACTAAATAATAATTTAAACCAAATTGGATTATCAGTAATTTTCATTAAAAAAAATACTACTTAGCATATTCTAAGGCAAGAAGCCAATGTAAATGTACCTCACTACCATGTTGTTTATAAGGCCTGTAGTCCGTACATCAGATAATACATCATAGTCAGTCCTTTCTTTTGTTTAAAAATGATATAACGGAGTTCGAAACATTTTCAGATACCCTTTAAGGCTAACTTTATTCACGAATTTTTTAGTTATCTATTTCGTAAAAATATATGCATGCACATCCATGCGATAGCTTCAAAGAAACCTAACGAAACCTAACGTAAAGTAAAATGTCGTTCTCACTTGGGAATATATATAATTTTAATTAATTCATAAAAAAATTAATTAGGCATCCAATTAAGTCAACTTTAATGTCATGATGCATTGTCTTCATGTCTTGACCAACGTAGGGCCTACCAACTACGATCCGTATCTGTCAGTTAGAAGTGTCCGACATTTCGCTCGGGCGTTTCGATCTAGACTGACAACTGGCGACAGACATAGGAAGTGAGTTAAATAAAAGCTTATAAAAAGTCCTACATTGAGAAACTTTGAACACATTTATAAAAACAAATGAAAATTATAGATAATCTAAGTCATATTTTCCTGTATCGAGTACTTCAGTGTCCAACATATAGCAAAACCACAAAAAAACCGCCTAAATAAACCTTTCAGAAAAAAGCAAATAAAGCGGGAGTGATCTCCCAAACCTTTCTCGAATGTTCTTACATAACACTTTGGGGAACATCAACGGGTATATAGACTTTATTTATTTAAAACATTTCATTATTTTATTTTTTTAAATAGAATAGAATCTCGATCAAAAAAGAATTGCGCACCAAATGAATATCAAACAATGTGTGTATAATAGTATGGAACACTAGTACTTACTAAGTTCACGTCCTTTTATTGAGAAATCGTAAATAGCTTAAAGTTCTACTGCCGGTCACCGAAGTTTACTTAAAATTCGACAGAAAACAGAGAATTAGATCTTTTACTTAAATGTGAAATTTCATCTATCAAAAACAGTACGCAACTTATAGGCTTTGGAAGAACTGAAAGTAGAAAAAATTCTACTTTCGGTTACTGGAAATCACTGAATAGTTGTGTATAACTAGAAATTTGATGTAATACTTCTTCTTCTTCGTTCTTAATTGAGAATACGGTGGAGGATTTAGACAACAAGTCCAACTTCGTGAATAAAACGGACTGTGGTCTCCAGATTGGCAGGTGCCCCATATAATTTTTCCTTGAGTGGGGTAATTCTTATATATGAAATTTCATCGACCTAGCTACAACGGTACTCAAGTTTTCGTGTTCACAGACACACAAACAGACATACAGACAGAATTGCAAAGCCAAGTTTTCCCGCCTTGATTACGCTTAAAACGCCAAAATTTTGATATATCTGGATTTAGAATTTTCGCCAAATTTGAAAAACAAGTACCCTATTTTCGTATATAATGAAGTACTGAGGTGTAAAACGGTGAAAACTGTCAAAATTTCATTTGATTTTTCTGCCCGATTACAATACTTCCTCTATACTCTGCATACAAGAAAGTAATACGCATAGAGTAGGCCTATAATTTAGATCAAAAGTCATACATTTTTAATGCTGCGACAATTGTATCATTTGTATACTTTAGTGTTGTTTGTACCCAGATTCTTGTAAAAGGTCACCGTTTGCATGACAGGTTATTAATCGCAAACTATTCAATTGCTCGTTGAACATTTACCAATTGTTTGAAACTAAATCAACATAATATGAATCATAATTTTACTTTTCTCATTTACGGAATATACATTAAGTATTAAAATCAAAACCAATATTTTAACAATTCTAAAAGTAATTTTTCTGTACGTCTTATATATATTAAATTAAATACATGTGTTTTACCACTAGACACCTTAAAAAGCATTCTTTTCAACACTTAACATTTATATTCTATTTTTAAAATATAGAGTTCTCACTTCTTTATAGCTCTTGTCAACACTCCTAAAATGTAATTTATATGTCTAATTTTTTAAATTTTAATATAGAGATCTCTGGATAACTGTAGTGGGTGTCCAGCAGGACTGATAACTCTAAATTATCTAAATAATAAAACGATAAAATAGAAAAGCAATATAACATATATGAACTATCTTCAATCAAGATAAGAATATAAAATTGTTTCTTATTATTTCAAGCAGCACTCGCGCTATAAATATCACCATCAAGTGTTAACATTCAGTACTTATACACCCCACATTAACACTTATAAAGCCTAATTGAATATTAAAACAATACGTAATGACTTATTCCACATGCTGAAGCAATAAGTACCTGCATGCTTGAATCGTAAACCCCTACAAAAAGGCTACGTATTTATATGTCGACTTGCCTGGCAGTCTAAAAATGTGAAAAATACTTTCGTTGAAAAAATAAAATATGTGGCTCTCTATTTTTTCTTGAATAAAAACAATTGCATATAACTCAAAATTTTAAAATAAGAAAAACAGAATGGTAGTGGATAAAAAACGTGGTTGACCTAGGCTAAGGTGACCCATAGGTGCAAATAAGAGGCAACGTATTTGATTTGGGATTGATTGTGCGAATGAAACCCATGTACACTAACTTTAACTCTACCGTTAAATGCTTCTATTTGTAGTTATTTTGATAGTTGTGCATTATTAATACTAAAAGAAAACATTTATTTTTAAAGGATTTAATTTAGATTGCTCAATATGTGTGTGTGTGTGTGTGTTTATGTCATATAAACATCCTATTAAGTCAAATTATACGTGCCAAGTTTGAAACGAATCAGTCGATAAGAAGTGGTCGAAATTGTGATCTATATCGAAGCATGATTTAAGGTTGACAGGAAAACAAGATAAATGAAAGCTTATAAACATATTATTCAATACTATAATTCGATTAATCGATAGCATTTTCTTTTACCATATCATACAAAATTTGAGGTACTAATTGCATACGGAACATCAAATGATATACATATACGTTTATCTCCAATTTTATTAATTATAAAATTATATATATATATATAATTTATATATATATATATATATATATATATATATATATATATATATACATATTTATAAAATGTGTTAATATATTTTGCTTATATCTTGTAATTAGAGATACATTGTTTTATAAACAAAAAACGGTAGTGTTTAAGTAAGCGCTTTAAATAAAATGTTAATGCTGCTTGGCATTTACCGTTTTAATCAAATTAGTAAACAGGTGTCTCCATAACTATAGAAGAATGTAAATGGCTGATTTAATCTACAATATAAACAGCTAGACATGCATTTTATTTTATTGTTCGAAATAACTACACTAATGTAAGTATCATTTATGTATACAATCATATATATATATATATATATATATATATATATATATATATATATATATATATATATATATATATATATATATATATATATATAAAATTTACGACATAGTTTTAAACAAATATGCTGTTGGGGAATTCAAAGGCAGTATAAATATATACTTTCATCAAACATAAGACAAGTAATCATAATCAAAGATATTCATATTTTGTTGTTACTGTAACATTAAATGTTTGTTCTGATCACGTCATGACTCCATTGAAAAGAAAAGTGTCTTGATCTTTACTCTGCTAACTATAGGGGATAAAAGACAAAAATTGAAAATAAATATTCAATATATATAAAATACTTAAAAAAAACTTTTTAAAAAACCACGTTTTTCTTGTGGACTAAAAAGTAGAAAATAAATTTTTCTTCCGACCCTAGGGGATCTACCAATGACTGCTCGTAGATTTTGTGCTTTCTCGAGCTGTGCAGGTTCTTGTACTGACTGTTCATACGTTTGACAAATAGAAACATATACTTATTTTAAAATGTTATTAAACAGCTTCAACTACTGAAAGTACGCAATACTAACGGCGTAATTTTTTGTGGGACACAAATATTATTGAAAATCAAATATGAAGAAATGAACTATTTTATTCAAATTTAATTTTTTTAGTAGTATAGATTTACTTATCAAGACGTATGCTATGAAATTAATACAATTTTCTTGGCCAAAAATAATCTACAAAAATAAGTTGAAATACAACAAATATGAAATTGACTTGCTGCGTTTCACCGGAATCATTTATCATTGATTTCTTTTGCACCTATTTTCCTATTTTCGTCCCCCTAAGCGACCTGACCCCCCCCCCCCTCCAGTACGAAAGTATGAACACAAATTTATTTACAGATTTTATAATATTCAGAGAAATCTTCTATTTTAGAAACAGGCATTTAATTACACAAACTCAAAACAATGACTATAATTTGCAGCATGCACAGAAGTTATTAGCTTGTAATCAAAAATTGTCGTTCAATGCGTCGATCTAATCCAATTGCAAAATTTGTCCACTTTAATGATTAATCATCTTTCGGCTATAGCATATTGATACATGTATTTGAATTTTTTTTAAATTCTAACAGCCGCCACATTTAATCAATTAAAAACCCAAAAAGCAAGTACAAAATCACCAGGGGCAGGATTACCACAGGACCCCTTGAAGTCCACAGTAGACCATATTTTTTTTTCAAAATTTCATTTTTGTCAATTTTTGCTTAAACTGCCTGAACTGCGTAGTTTGTTCAGTTGAATAAAAGAAGGTCACAACACCCAATTAATATTTTTTGTCAATTGTATACTCATTATATTTAGTTTTGACTTTGAAGTATATATCTACAAAAATATCTAAAGTATCTAAA